AGCGAGTGCACGGTTCCCATCTGCTTCCTTTCGAGCAACGACCACGCCGGGTTCGCCGGAAGGGGAGACGCGCGCTACGTGCTTTTCGACGACGACGCCAAAAGCATAAAGTGGACGGACACGGATACGCTCGTCCAGTTGGCCGAGAGGATACTGGATCGCAATCTCGTACACGATCCCGGTGCGGTGATAGTGGAAGATGTTCGACGACATTGACGATCCAGCCACCAGTTCTGACAACTTCCTGCTTCTCATAAGCATCCTGCTTGCCGACATCGTTCGTAACTGCGAAGAACGCGAGCGGGAGAGACGCGAACTCGTCACTTCCGTTTTCTGAATGTCTTTCGAAATGTGGAGGAATCTCAAAGTGCGCGTGCGAAGAAAATGGTCGAGGTGGGCACGAGAGAAGAGGGCGATCGACGCCGACCGCCGTCTATAGTTATTCGAGGATGGTGAGCAGGAGGATGAGGACGACGAAGACGAAGACGATTCGTTGGAGGAGTTGTCTGTGGATCTGCAACGACGGTTGGAAGCTGCGTGCGGAAGCGGCACAGACGACGACGTCGTTTCCTTCTACGCAAGATGCTTAGTTCTAGCGGAGCACCTTCTGCGAGGGACGGATTCGGTCACGACGGAGTGCTGCACCATGACCGACTTCGACGCCGTGCTCGCGCGACAAGTGCTGTTCCCTTGGACGAGCGAGCATTCGACGGTGATATCGAGGCGCCTGTCGGCACTCTGGAGGTTCGTGGTCGTCGTGGGCACCGTACCGGAGTTGCCCATAGGTTGTTGTCCGAACGTCGGTTACCGGTGTTTCGTCTGCAGAAAGGAGCATACGGACGAGGAGTGCCACCATCTCGTCACGACGATCGCGAACGAAGGAACAGAAGATGAGGAGGATATCTGCCGCGGTGCGCCTCCAGTATTCCCGCGTCTCGACTCTCGCCAGTCGACGAGACGGGAAGTCGCCGAGAAGGACGAGTTCGAGATTGCGATGCGCGTCGACAGGCGTGCGAGAACGGCCGCAGACAAGCTGAGGGTGGAGATCGAAAAGGAGATAAGGTACGCAGAAACGTGCGTCTGATACGCCTTCCTTCCAAAGACCGTTAGTCTCGGTTGCATAGCGCACGTCGCGAAGCTCGTCTCGTTCGGAAAGCGCAGACGGCAGCTGGCGAACGAGGAACGAGAGACGTTCGACCACAGGGATCTGGAAAGGTGGTCCCGAAATCTGCTGGAGTCGATGTTGGCCAATCCGGACAGGCGCGATCAGAGACGGGCCACGATGGCCTCGTTCTTCCGTTTGGTGGTCGATCCGACCTCGGTGGTGAGGGACGCGTCGACGACGAGACACGAGACCGCCTTCCGAACATGGATGGAAGCGTGCGAAGTGCCCGCCGAGAGCGTTTGCGATTACGTCGACGGACGGAAGGGCGTGACTCTGAAGACAAAGGTCGAAGACGACCTGACTGGCCTGTACAAATGTCTACTCACCTGGCCCGGGATTTATCAATCTCAGCTTAGCAAATGTCTTAAGTCAAAAAAGTTAAGAAGTAGCTAAGCAAAAATCTTAAGCTGATTTATCAAACCGTCTTAGCAAAACCTTAGCAAAAATATCATCTTAGATGGCGCATGCGTACAATCGACATCTTGTAGCTTATAGAGGGCAGCAAATTTTGTCTTAAGTCGAAAAATATTTGCTTACGCATGCGTAAAAGCCATTTTTGTGATTTCAACCGGAAGTGAACTGTCAAAGGTTACGAGAGATACAGTAAACAAACCATGTGAGAAACTTATGTGCTCGCCATGCTGGATGTTCTCTAGTGAAGATTTTATCGTTATTCTTTCTTATCTTACTGTTTTATATGGATGGTAAGACGTCTACCATCACTGTCAGTTTAATTTGGATGAACTACATACAGCTGTGAAAAGTTTTTATTAAAGCATTAAAGGACTTTTAGTACGATTGAGAGGGCTGGCAGAGAGAAGAGGCGGCCAACAACGAGCAAGGCTAGAATAGAGAATGGCCTGGCCTAGTCTAGTAGAGTGGTCTAGCTAGGCTAGAGCCTTAGCGAGAAAGCTTAGTTTGGCCTACTAGCTAGGCTAGGGGGCCTAGGCTACACCGCTAATATAGACCATAAAATCAGACGAGGTAACCGAAACATCAAAGCCTACGACAACTACTAATTTTTAAAATGGCAATTGTTGTTTTTGACTTGAGAGAGATTTCCAGGTAAGTGAATATGATTGCTATTTTTTTTCAATTTAGGAAGGATATAGCACTGCATGCAGAGGGCAGAGGGAGGTATAAAAATTTACATGGGAACCAGTCGTCTCGCCCCCTATAAATTCCGCACTCTAACAAAATGTCTTGCTAGTAGAAAATTATTAGGTCACATATAAAAAAATTGTTAGATTTATCACTCCTGCCTGAGTAAAAAATTTGGGTGGTGTGACTGGAAATACATTTTCTTTTAAAAACAATAAAATTAAACCACTTTTTATACAATATTC